CATGTACCAGCATACACTTTCTTTTGCTTTGAACTGCTCTTTGAACAGTTAGGACTTTATTGCCGTTACTCTTCCCAAACGCTACATTTGTGCAGCGTTCTAGAGACTGTACTTATTGAAACTTTATCTGTACATGACTTGTTAATATCATAAACAAGGTTATTATTTTTTCTTCTGTTTTCAGTAAGTTATTTAATTCATTCCCTGCCTTTTCTAATGCTATAGGATTGAATTTCCTTATATCTGTTCAATATGTACTTTACAGTACTTGATAAACGGCCTTTTACAAGTTTTTAAACTCCAACAACATCATGTAAAGTTTAGACTCTGTCAAAAAGTATTAATTCCCTTTGGTTTTATTGCTAATGGCAATACCTTATTTTGTTAGTTGTACTCAACAGTGTTTAGAAAAGCAAATCATTCTTTATATACCTGCATGAAAATACTCAGAATGTGCAAAATCTCAAGTTTTTGTTTTTTATGTCAGTTTTTTGTTTGTTTGTTTCTTCAGTGATTACTACTACAGAAACTAAAGGCAATAATGTGTGACGTTGCTGTAGCGCTTTGTACTTAGATTACACATCTTGAACAACTTGAAAACATCTTCTGAACTTAATCATTTGTGGCTACGTGTTGTCTTTCTCTTAAAAATTAAAATTGATTAAATGTGTATCATATTAAAGTATTTTGTATAAAGTGGAAATACCAATAGTTTTCCTATTTTTATTATTATGTTTTATTTCCAACATTGTTTTTTATGTCAGTTTTTTTGTTTGTTTCTTCAGTGATTACTACTACAGAAACTAAAGGCAATAATGTGTGACGTTGCTGTAGCGCTTTGTACTTAGATTACACATCTTGAACAACTTGAAAACATCTTCTGAATTTAATCATTTGTGGCTACGTGTTGTCTTTCTCTTAAAAATTAAAATTGATTAAATGTGTATCATATTAAAGTATTTTGTATAAAGTGGAAATACCAATAGTTTTCCTATTTTTATTATTATGTTTTATTTCCAACATTTTAAACTACAATGGTTTTTATTCGTAGACACAAGTCATCAATTCTACAGGAACAATGAGGTATTCTAATAAATTTTCACAATACTGTATATGTTTTGATAATTTAAAGAACCTTTTGAGGCATATGATAAAGTTCTTAATATATTAGCTTTATTCCGCTAATATTTATAAAACGCTACGGTATATCTTGACAGCCTAAGATGCATTTAAAACTTATTTTATTACAAGTTACAGCTTTTACAGTAAGATAGATTTGTATTAAAACAGACACGACGTTTCGATCACTGATGCGACCATTTTCAAGTAAACAAGTACACAACGAAACTATTAATTTAAAAACTTAATGGTGTATCATAAAAATCTTTTAACAAACGACTTGGTGTAAGATCACATTTCACTGCTACTTCGACTTCACGCCTAAAGAAGTTATATGATATATATAACTAACTTTATTTTAAGCTGTAGGTGAGCCAAGTCACAGCCGCCTTAGAAACTAGCTTCCACGAAAACACCTGTTTTCAATTCAATGTAATCGATAACATTGATTTTATTTTCTTGTTAATTTTCTATACTCCAGTTGCGTTTGCTCAATTTTGAACCTAGCGTATGTGGAGAAGTCAAGACTCCCTGTGCTCGAAATATTTTTCTTATCAAATATCCTAAATGGAAAATGTATCATTTTGTCTGAGTATCTTCGTCTACATGGCCAGGTGGTTAGGGCGGTCGACTCGCAATCTGCGGGTCGCGGGTTCGAATCCCCGTCACACCAAACATGCTCGCCCTTTCAGCCGTGGGGGCGTTATAATATGACAGTCAATCCCACTATTCGTTAGTAAAAGAGTAGCCCAAGAGTTGGCGGTGGGTGGCGATGACTAGGTGCCTTCCCTCTAGTCTTAC